TTGCAGTGAATTAAAACGCAAACTGATCTCTCTTCAATGTTGACCCGCTGGCCTCCGATCGATACCCCAAAGCCAATGGGCTGGCTGAGGAAATCAACCAGGCCGTCATTCAACTGCTTCGTGCGTTAATTGTTCCCAATCAGAACACGTGGGACAAGGAGTTACACAAAGTGAAGAAGTTGTATAACAACTCCTTGCACTCTACAACTGGCGTGACACCGAATCAACTGCAATACAGTTGGCAACTGCGCAATCCTCTTTGCTATCTGTTCGTCGATCGGTCACTTGGTCTAACGCCCGGCATGCCTGACTACAATGCCAAGTATGCACATTTGCTCAAAGTTGCTATTGCGGCGATGAACAAGCGTCGGCATGCCATGATCAACATGCTAACAAATCGCACAAAGAAGGGAATTTCAAAGTAGGAAGTTATTTTTGGATCAAGTTGTCTGAAATTTTCGAAGAAGAGGGAGCATCACGAAAGCTTCTTCCATGGTGCTATGGTCCTTGGCAGGTTATGAAGGTGATACGAGATGACAAATTTCGCCATTCGTAAGTGATCGCCGTACCACGTAATTTGGCCATTTGTAAGTGATCGTCGTACCACCTCATCTATGTACGTATCCGGTCTTTCACGCATCCAACCCATACATGGGGCGCATCACGTGCGCGCAAGTTGCGCACGTGCGTCGCATAGTGCATGCGCACACGTGCGCACGCACGTGATGCGGCGCATTTACAAAAAGAAAAGGAAAAAAAATGGGTAGGTCGTGGTAACCATAATTGTCCCTCCCTTTTGAAAATTGGAAGTGCACAAAAAACAAAAATTTTGGGGCCACTTCGTACTACTTGCTGATATATTATCTTTTCCAAAAGGTCCCCTGCAAAGAATCAACAGGGTTCCCATGTTTTTGGAACAATGTTCATTGAACTGTTGGCAGACCACGACCAGGCCAGCAATACATCCTAGATTAGGATTCGGGTTTGTGTTGGAAGAGTTATGGGTGAGGAAAGTATTACAAGCACTACAGTAGTTGTCTCGTTTTTTTGTTTTTCCTTTTCTTACGTGTAGTGGACCTAAGAGCCTGGCTCCACTCATCACAAAAGAAAAACATATGGCATGTATGGTTCCAATTTCTAGGAGAAGATTCATTCTAGTTTTGTACATTTGGTGAGCATTGGAATGAAGCCTCGAAAATCACATGCCGAGTTAACAAGTCAGTAACACATAATTTATGAAATACGGACATGAATTTGAAGCTACACCGTATGTAGCCAGCCTGCTCCCTCCTTCTAGTAACTACCCTTATCTAGCCGACGGGACCCTTGCCACTTTTTGGCAGGGACCTTTGAAGTACCTGCAGGGATTGTTTGAATAATGTGAAAGGGCTCTTTGCCTTCTCTCTCTCTCTCTCTCTATATATATATATATATATGACACATTTTGTACAAACTCTGAATGAGTTACTCGCTCGAAGGGACCTCGCTCTTGAGAGGGGGGTAGTGTAATGACCCGCAAAAACACTAACTGAGAACACTGCTGATTTATGGGATTTGTCGGTGGAATGAATGCCTTGCTGAGATTTCTGAATTCTGCTGTGATTTCCAAGTTTGTGTGTGCGTGCCTGCTGGTTTGCGTGCCTGTTTGAGTACTTGAGTGTGTGTGTGACCCGCAAGGGTACTTGTTGGTTTTGGAGGCCCCGCAGGGCGGATACTTACCCGTGGTCGTGACTTTGAGGGTTGCAGTGGGAAAATAACACTCAAGTAGTGGGGGTAGGCCGTGGGAAAAACTCTCAACTAGAAGGTAGGCCGGTACCACTCAAGTAGTGGTAGAAGTGTCGGGTACTCAAGGCCGAGCGGAAGAAGACAAAAAGTTGGCATTTTTAGAGGTCCTGTAGCGGTAGGCTAGAGGTAGGCCGGTACCAGTCCAAGTAGCCTCAGTCTGGGTCCTGAACGGACGATATCAGATCCTGCAATGATGTTTCCCTGCGAACGGGAGGAGGTACCGGTTTCTGGTAGGCCGGGCGGCCTAGGAAGTCACCGCCCAAGAGGCAAGTAGGATGCTCTATCTTCGGGAGGAGCATGTAGCTCATTTCTGGTGTGCAACGATTGGCGACATACTGCTGGAGTCAAGTGCTGGACTTGGAGCGCTGCCTGGAGGAAGGAGAGCAGCTGGGCGCTCAGCCTGGCTATGGCGAGCAGCCCAGCCTGAGGAGGAGGAAGAAGGGGGCAAAGGAGGAGAGTGGCGAGGTACCTACCTGGCTATGCTGGACACCATCTTCATCATTTTGATAGGCGCTGCATCTGCAAGGCCCCAGTTCGGGTAGTGCCGCACCAAGGAAGCTCGAGGCAGAATCAGGCATGGCGGCCTGATGAGCAGCAGCATAGCTGCTTTGTGTTGTCCATCACACAAAAAGGGCAGAGCCCTTGGAAGTCCGCCATAGCCTTGGCATGTGAGAGGAGGGAGGAGGAGGGAAGCCATGGCTATTATGGACTTGTTGATGTGCTCGCAGTAAGAGGGAACTTCAGATATTGATTCTGGTTCATCCACTTATTATTATTATTATTATTATTATTTGGAAGAAGAATAAGATTGGCAAAGTCAAGGAGGAGGAGGAAGGTGGAGAGAGAAGGGGGATTTGCCATTGGTCTTGCTGGTGTACATCTTCTTCTTCTACTTCTTTCTCTCTTCTTTCGTCTCTATCTCTTTGCAAGTGCTTTCATTTCTTTCGCAATTGGGTGGGATTGCCTTTCCTTGTGAATTTGCACTTTGGAAATGACCAGGATAGTAACACAGCGAGCAAATGCAGAATCAGAATCTTTAGCAAACTATGAAAGAGGGAATGGGACTGCATCCCTACACTATTAAAATCGTTAATGGAACCAATCTGTGATCCAGGCCGCAGTTTGTGCTACTGGCCTGCGGCCTGGATCGTTGGAAACATGTAATAAATCTGAAATCCAGGCCACCGGTTTGTACCGGGGCGACGGTTGGGATCGGCACCTGGTCTTAAGATTTTAAGATCACGTGTTAATCCAGGTCGTTGGCTCGGTACATCGGTCCCGACAGCCCAGATCAGAAGTTTACGGTGAGGGTACCCTGTCTGCCCGTTGCATGACATGGGCCGACCTGCCTGCCCAGCACGGACTTCTTTGCCTAGCTGACCTACCTATTGTACCACAACAGTCCCGTAGCTCTACCCTACCGGTTGCATGAGCCATGCCTATCTACCCGACCTAGCTACGACACGACAGCACTACCGTAGCTCTACCCTAGTGTGAGGCTGCCTACACGACGTACCTACCTGTTGTGCGCGACATACTATGCCTACCCGACCTAACCACGGTAGCGAAGTGCTACTGAAGCTATAACCTGGCATGAGAATAGTGCTACCATAGCTCTCTCTCTCTCTCTCTCTCTCTCTCTCCCCCCCTCCCCTTCTTCCCCCCTCTCCCTCTCTCTCTTTGTGGTAGGTGAACTGGTGCTTCTCCGTGCTTCGCGCTTTGGTGCAACGTGATTCGTGCTTAATGCTACGTGGTTCGCGTTACTCGAGTTAGTGCGATGATAACTTGGTACGTGCTACTGGCTACGTGCAACGTGGTTTATGCTCCATGATTGGTGCAACGTAGATTGGTGCTCTCTCTCTCTCTTCGCCATAAAATGTGGATTGGTGCTTTGCTCTATGGTGCTACGAGCTTCATGCTACATGAGTTGGTGCTACGGATTGGTGGACCATTTTTGGACCCGTGTGCTACGTGGTTCGTGCTACATGAGCTGGTGCTACGGATTGGTGGAATGTTTTTGGATTTGTGTGCTACGTGCTCTCTCTCTCTCTCTCCTCACTCTCCTCTCATTCTCACAGCTCGCTCTATCCACTCTCTCTCATCTCTCTTCTACTTAGTAGGTAAATTTGATGCTTCTTGCTACGTGAACTTGGTGCGTCGTGCTACGTTCTTCATGACCTAGGTGCAACGTGAACGCTCGTGCGCGTGCGCCCCAGAGAGAGAGAATCGATGGCGGATCACCTCCTCCTCCGCCCTTCTCTCCCCGCATTCTGTGCGCGCTCCACTCTGCCGAGAGAGAGAGAGAGAGAGAGAGAGAGAGAGAGAGACCATTCTAACTACGCGCCCATGATCCGTGGACGGTGGTCCATCGAGACCTTTCTTTCAAAAGGAAAAAAGAGAAAATCACACACGCGAGTGCACGAGTGTGCGCGCGTCCGCGCCCAGAGAGAGAGAGACACACACACACACACACACACACACACACACACACACACACACACACACAGACAGAGAGAGAGAGAGAGAGCAGGTGGGCCTAAGAATCACCCCGACCCCGCCCAAACCAACACCCCAACGAACAACCTCCCCAACGATCCTCATTTAACACTATTTCCTTCATTTTATTGTGGGCGAAGCTGCAACAAATAACCTTGTTTTCTCAGAAAAGTTCAGGTATCTCGGACTGAAATTTGTGGGTCATTTCAAATCTCACAAAACAAACAACGCCGCTGAGAAGGTAATGGCTTCCCAAACAATATACCTGGGGTACGAGAAATGGTCTGGTCACTCTGGTGGCATGCCCTCCTGTTTCCTTGCCTGCGGATTCCTGTGTCTGCTGTCAGGTTCTTTTTCATATTATGAAAGAAGCCCAAATGATAGGACAGTTCATTATGCTTTTTCTTTCATTTCTCTTTTCTTTTTTTACTAGCAAAGGCGCAACAGGTATTAGTTGTAAGTGAGTGATGGAAAGAAGACGAAAAGTGAAGGCTGGGAGATCACATTTGCTCAAACTGAGCAGACTGACATTTTCTTGACAGCGAGTTTGGCATTGGAAGTCTAGGAGGACACTTACACAGTTGCCATGTTAATGTTCTCTGTATCATTCCGATTTTAACGGATGTCCCGAAGGACAAGAGTTGGACAAAATGTACGGTCAAGATCTGAGAATATGTTTCTGAGTCACAATTCGTGTGTGTGTGTCGTTGTGCATGCAGACTGATCACAGAGGCATGCGACTGCAAGGCTCTCCACTTCCTATGATGATTGTCTCGGTAATTGTCACCTTTTCTCTGCAATGTTGGCTGTATGAGCTGTCATGCATCAAATTCCTTCGGGGCATTGAGAGGAAGTTTTCTTCATGGTTCCATTTCATCTGTCAATACTAAATAGCCAAGTGGGCTGTTGAAGTTCGTGGTTGGTGCCTTGGTTTTCATTTCTGATGGACCTTCCAATTGTCGTTGGTAGGTGGGTATTGTGGTAGTTCTATGCTAAATGTCATTGCCCATATATAAGTGATGTGAACTGCTTTCCCATGGTTTGCGGTGAGTTTTGCTCACGGACGTTGATCATTCTCTATTGCAATTGCCTGCGCTTAGCATATTTTGTCAAACCATAAGAACTTGTCTTTGCCGGCGTCCTCGTGACCTCCTCTCTCTCTCTCTCTCTCAGACGATTCATTGTCGCTGTTGCCGGACGGAGAAGAAGCGGCACACACATCTTGTCCTTGAGCTTGAGAACCCAGCGAAGGAACGAGTCGGGCAGCATAGTTCTCATGAGAATATAAGAGAGGACTGTCGACTTCCGCATGTGCCTCGGAATGAAGAGAGGTTGCTCGTGAAGCAACCCGTTCCGAAGGCGTCGAGAGTGCAGCCGCATCACTCTCCGCGGTGCTCACTTTCCCGAAGGGAATTTGCCTTTGACTTGCGTGGGGCACTGCGCAGTGTCGTGCACCGCGCTGCTGCACCACAAACAGTATCGATACTTAGTATGGGTGCGGTAAACCCTTCCGAGATACCGTTGTGTGTCCAAAGCTCTTGAGCTGCTGGCCCGGCCCCGGTGGATGAATTGGTGTGGGTCTTCGGTTTGCCGCGTCCTCGCCCTCTGGCGGGGTGGCCACCATCCGGGGCGGCTGTCAATCTGTCTCCTTCATCAGAAGAGGCAGCCCCGTTTGAAAGGTTTGTCGGCGTAGTTGCTGCGACCACGGCCACTTTTGGCTGATGCTGATCTCTGCCCTGGCTCGCAGCGGGCGAACGGCCCAAATTCTTGGCTTCGGTGTTCGTCAGGATGATCTGCGAGGCTTTATCAAACAGCTGCTCACTTGTGGTGAGCGTCTCCGCAACTTGCGTCAAGGCGTTCTGCAACGCCAGACAACTCCTCCTGATGAAGAAGTGTTTGATGGCGACAAAGGTCGACGGCAAGTTGGGCATGGACGCCAAGCGTTGGTACTCGGTTATCCAGTCCGTGCTTGCCAGGTCGTTCTGATAGAACTGTTGAAGTTTCTCGGCTGCCTGCAGCTCGGACGGCTCCACTTGGAACCGCTTATGCCATCTGCTGGTCAATCCGCTGATTTGTCGCTAGAGCGCCGTCCTTGAGAGTCCCGACGTCGATTTCCAAGACGTTGACGCGGTCCGTCGAGTTGGAGGGTCCGATGGGGGTGGCTGTTGTAGGCTGCTGTTCCAGCCGGCGTACCCGGTCAAGCAGTTCGTTGATAATTCGAGCCTGCTTCCGGACCAGGGTGTCCACGCAGAGGATGTCCTGTTGCTGTGCTGCAAAGGTGGCGACCAAGTCGCTCACATGTTCGATTGTGGTTGCAAGGCCACGCACAGCAGGGGGGGTATCCTCCTCTTCAGCTGCCACTGCCCATTCGCCGGCGATCACCTCAATGTCCCCCTTGCATTCGAGGATTTTGTCTCGGCGTAGTCGACAGCGTTCGTCTGCGGCCTTCCTTGCTGCCTCGGCGTCCTCCTGTCGCTGTTGTTCAGCGAGGTGACGCTGTTCCTCTGCTTCCTCATCTTCCTTCTTACGTGCAGATGTTGCCGCAACTGCCCGTTGCTTAAACTCTGCTACCATGTCCAGCATGTGGGTCTCATAGGCCTTGGTAGTCTCTCCCGGCTGCTGATCCATGCTGCTTGTCTTTGAGCGGGTGAGCACCATGCACTGACATGACCTGCTGCTGCGGTGACTGGTTGCTGACATGACACTGCTGACGTGTCCTGCTGACGTGGCCTGTGATGTGGCAACTCACCAATGCCGCCGCAGGGGGTACCCGGAGAGAGGTAGAGAAGACCAGAGGGGGCATGTAACACATAGGTGGGGAAGGGTGGGTTGATCGCCCAGATATGGAGCCACTAATCAAAAGTAGAAAAGTTTGAACTTGCAGAAAAGAATCAAAAAATTAAAAAAAATCCCAAGTTTTGCAAGTTCAGTAGGTCTCCCAATCTCCCTTGAAGTGCGAAATTCCCAATGAGAAAAAAAATTCGAACTTTCAGACTGCAAATGATTATCAGATAGTGAAAATCATTGAATTGCGAATAAAAAGAATTCCGAAAAGAAAATAAGAAGTATTCGGCATTACTGAGATGAGAGTACACAGAGTCTGGAAAATGGTAACTGCAAGAGGGATTTCCCATACCGTTTTTTTTTTAAACAAATTTAGGAAAAAAAAAAAAAAGAAAAAACCTCCGGATTTCCTAATAACGGGAAATCAATTTTTTTTGAAACGAAAGATATTCCGGATTTCCAACAACGAAATTTCGAATTTTCAGAAGAAAAACGAAAATGGAAATTTCAGGTGTTGCACTATTGCGATTTCCCACAACAGAAATAGCAGGAAAACAAAATCCAAGAAAAAAAATAAAATCGATTTCCTAATTAGTATGCTCTAATCAATTAATCAATAAAAACTAATTAACTACTTAGTCCCCGCACACGTGTCAGATCAGTTGGGCAATGTATGTAAAGCCAAGGATCCGCAATGTGATGAAAAGGACTGAATGGACAATGCAGTGCTAGAGGAATCTCAACAAGCACTGTGCATCCTGATACATACAAAAATGGAATATAATAGTGCAGTGGAAGACTTAGATATAAGACCTGACCTGACTGGGACTGACCTCTGTCACGTAGTATAAGACAGCGCAGCGGAATGCTAGAATACCAATGACTAGCCCAATCAATGTCACAATGCAGACCAAACATACATCATCCTCATCACAAGGGGTGAAGGGGCCTGGCGCTACACACAGGAAGAATGCGCCAGGTCCAGGCCATACACGGACGAAGAGGAGGGGATCAGACGAAGAAGAGGGGGAAGATGGGAATGTCGTCAACACCAAGTCTTCGGTACAAGTCCCAGATAATCCCTCGTCAAATGTCTGAAGCCCAATGTTGAGTCTGGATCCAAATGTCACCAATCCCACTCTCTCTCGTAGTCTGCTGATGCAGTGAAGTCAGGTAGCGAGAGGGTGAGAGGGAGATGGTGGACTGAGAAGATTAAGAAGAAGAACTCTCTCTCTCTCTCTCTCTCTCTCTCTCTCTCTCTCTCTCTCTCTCTCTCTCTCTCTCTCACACACACACAGGTACCAGGGACTATCCTGTGAAGATGGCGCTCTGCTGCAGGTAACTCGAAGACGAAGCTGGAGCCATGGTGCTGCAGGTAAGTCTCCCTGGCTTCCGCCCAATCTCTCTCTCTCTCCAGTACTACTCTAGCTCCTACTAGCGCCCAGCGCTGAAGAATACTGCTAACGCCACTACTACTACTGCAGCGCTCCTCCAGAGTGCTGCTGCCGAAACCTGAAGACCACCACCTGCCTCCTGAACTGCACGTGAAGTGCCTGGGAAGTCCCTATGAACTACCTGCAGTCGGCAGGGCGGGCCAGTCCTATATAGTGCTGGCCCGTCCAGGAGGCTGCTCTTGCCAATGCCAAAACGTGCCAGACCCTGGCATTGAAGCTCAAACAAAGGTTGTCTTGAAAACAGGCCCAAAATGGCCTGTGCTAAAACTCTGGTCTGGTGCCCAAGTTTCAGGGCACGTCGATCTTATGAGGGCCTGAAAAAAGCCCTCCGTTTCAGGCGGAAAAGACTCAGGGCCTGGAGGGCCCTGTTTTAGGCTGAACGACACAGGGCCTGTAGGCCCTTGTTTTCAGGCTTTGAGGCTGAAAAGACAGGTAGCGAGAGGGTGAGAGGGAGATGGTGGACTCAGAAGAGGAAGAAGAAGCTCTCTCTCTCTCTCTCTCTCTCTCTCTCTCTCTCTCTCTCTCTCTCTCTCTGTGGGCAGCTCTGTTTGACGATATGTTGACATATATATCAGATCTGTCAGCTATTTTGTCTTGAGAAATTTGCCAAATAAAAGCATAAAATATAGCTAATTCTATCAGAGACCATAAATAGGTAAAACTGTTATGATCCTGGCCAATTTCGAGATACACATTCGTCAGATAGTACAATGCTGTCCAATTGCAGAAAGAAATGGAGGAGAGGGAAGATTAGAAGAAAAAGAAGAAGTAAGAAAGAAAAGGAAGATGATGTACACCAGCACAGACAAATGACACTTCTTCTTCTTCAGACAAGAAATAACAATACAATGTTGAATGGCTGAACCAGAATCAATGTTCGAATCCCTCTTCTACTGCTGGTATGACTTGAGGTCCACAATAGCCATGGCCGCCTCCCTCACTCTTCACTCTCATAGGCCGAGGCTATGGTGGACTACGAGGCCTTGCCCAGATGCCCAAAGGAGAACCCAAAGCAGCTATGGCTGCTCTGGCTCAGGCCGCCATGCCTGACTCTGCCTCGATGCTTCTTGGTGTGGCTCAACCCCAGCTGGGGACTTCCTGCTGCAGCGCCCACCAAGCTGATGAAGATGGCTGCCACCATAGCCAGGTAAGTACCTCTGGCGCTCCTCCCCCTTCCTGTCCTTCTTCCTCCTCCCAGTCCTTGCTTCTTCCCCAGCAGCGCTGCTCCAAGCTAGCGCTGCTCCAGCCAGCGCTCCAACCAGTGTGTCACCAAACTTGCACACCGACAATGAGGCTGGCCTCTGCGCCCCGCCTGGAGATATAGTTGCCTGCTTGCCTCTCGGGCGGTGACTTCCAGGCCGCTCGGCCTCCCAAGCAACCGGTACCTCCTCCCTTTTGGAGGGAAACATCATTGCAGACTCTGATATTGCCCGTACAGGTCCTAGACTGAGACTAGTACCCGCCTAGACCTAGCCGACAACTTTTGGGCCTCTAAAAATGTCACTTTTGTCTTGTTTTGCTCGGCCTCCAGTACCCGG